TTTAGATCCCGAGTGTAACACGCGGTTGGCTCCGCTCGTTAGCTGGAGTTACAAGTTCGTATCAGAATGAAAGTTAGAATTTTCATGCTCACGCAAAAAGTCGCAAAGTCGTCTTACAAGGTTCAACACATTGCAGAATCGGACAATGGTGGCGGAGCACCAAAAGCGGCCCACAAGTTGCACACTAGCCTGAGTGCTTTGGGTGTCGACAGCCAAATGTTAGTCGCTGATAAGCGAACCAGTGATCCAACTTCTTCTCAATTGAAACTAAATTTGGGGTTCTTTGCTAAGCGGCGCCGACGTAGCCTAGCTAGACGTCAGAAGCAGAACCTTAAGCAATATCGCATGTCAAGATCCGAAAAACTCGAAATTTTTACGCATGGCATGGGTATTTTTGGGTGGGACCTCGTCTCACAATTACCCAAAGCCGACGCGTATTTTTTGCACTGGTCTGATCGCCTTATAGATTATAATTCCCTGTTCTCGCAGATACCTCCCGACATTCCAGTCCTCTGGAGAATGCCCGATATGAATGCTATGACTGGCGGCTGCCACTACGCATGGGACTGTAAGAGGTATTCGCAAAACTGCGGTAGGTGTCCGCAGCTGGGATCTACCATTGACAAGGACCTATCGCGAAAGGTCTTTCACCACAAGCAGCTCGCATATGAAAAACGAAACCCGAACCTAACGTGTTTTGTTGCGCCAAGCCGTTGGTTAGCAAATCAAGCACAAAAAAGCTCTCTATTACGAGATTTCGAAATAGCACACATTCCTACCGGTGTGGATAGTAACACCTTCAAACCGACGAACAAAGGCTCAACGCTTAGTCGCCACGGTTTGCCAACCGAGGTTCCCTTGCTCCTGTTCGTTGCACAATCGGTCACAAACTATCGTAAGGGATTTGACTTGGTTATATCAGCATTGCGAGGCATGTCCGAACCGGACAAAGTAGCTTTGGTTGCACTAGGTGACGTTGCAAGCAATCTTGATCTCCCTTCAAATTGCTACGCAATTGGTCGGGTGGAAAGCAGCACTGAACTGGCTGCACTCTACTCGGCGGCAGACATTTTCGTACATCCAGCGCGTGAGGATAATTTGCCCAACGTTGTCTTGGAAGCTATGTCGTGCGGAACACCTTGTGTGAGCTTTGACGTCGGCGGATTGCCCGAATTAATTCAAAATGGTGAAAACGGTCTTCTGGTTGAACGCGGCAATGCTAAAGCTTTACTCAATGGAATCGAAGACTTGCTAACAAATTCAGAATTACAGAAACGCATGTCGAAAAATTGCCGCGACACCGTTTTAAGAGAGTTTCGTGAAGAGGTAATGGCCCTTAGATATCACGACCTTTTGAATACGCTGCTCGAACGCGCCGAAAACTTGCGCTCCGGCATTGAATACTAACTTCCAAGATTCAACGATTTTAAATAGGTTTTAATTTGGTGTATTTTCCCTTCGATTGTAAATTGTTTTCAACACATATAGCTCTACATGCTGAGAAGATGACGAGGCCTCAATGAAAGAAAAAAAGAAAACACCTGCACGGAAGCTGTTCAAATACAAAGTACTGGGACGAATGCCTGGACGTTTTGGGCAACGTTATTTTGACAAACACTCCTCCCTAACCGCTATGGAATCCATGCCAAAGGCAATTGAAAAATGCGCCGGCATGGTCTGTATAGACTTGGGTGCTAACGTTGGTGAATTTACAGAAATGATGGCCGCAAAAGCAAGCCGAGTCATCGCCTTCGAACCCGATCCGTGGTCGTTAGAACGCCTTGCGGAGCGTGTTGGCGGGTTCGGAAATGTTGAAATTGTTGAGGCTGCCGTGGGTGTTACTGACGGATCGGTAACGCTTTATCGTCACGAAAACTTCGAGACCGACCCTCTAATCAATTCACAATCGAGTTCAATTTTTTCTTCGAAAAGCAACGTCAGCGCCGAAACTGGGCACATTGTTCCCCAAATTAATTTCTTACGCTTTTTACGAGAACTCGACGAAGAAGTCGGCATCCTCAAAATCGATATTGAAGGAGCAGAAGTGGAATTGCTCGAAGCTTTGTTTGCTGACCCAAGCTTGTTTCGCAGAGTTCGATATGTTTTTGCAGAGACACACGAAAAGAAAATACCGAATCAAAAAGCGAAAGTAAAAAATCTGCGCAAGAAAGCAAAAGAGACTTGGAAACCGTTGGTAAATCTATATTGGCATTGAATGTGATTTAGAAGTTCGCTCAATCGCTCCCGATTAAACTCTTTCAATTCTAATCTGAAACGTATTTGGCGGTCACCTGCTTGCGCGTAAAATTTCAGGACTTGAAAAGATCCTCGCGATGGTGCTTCGCGCTCCTTCAGCCGAGATTAGGCGTTGATGTTGTTACAAAACTGCTCGAGAGAATTATTCAATGATACCAATCGTGTATGTTCGCTTCGGTAAACCACAGAGCCACACCTACCTTTCCACAAAGCATGCATTTGAGCAAAACGATATTGTTCACTACATCGGTGAAAAGGGAGATTTGCCCTTTACTTCAAAGTTAGGCTTTCATGAAATTTCCAAGTATGAAAACGATATTCATAAATTGAAACAACTGTATATCCCGCTTAGCTCGAATAGTCCGATATTTGAATTCTACTGTATTGCAAGATGGTTTGTTTTGAAGAATTTTGCACGTAAACATAATATAGATAGGTTGTATTATTGCGACGATGACGTTTACAACTTTTGCAATATTAATGATATTTCCGATATCTATAGCGACTATTTTGCATCTTTTTGTATAACCAGCGTATCCGATGAAATGAATTCTATATCGGCTTGCTGTTCTTTTTGGACCTTAACCGCTCTAGAGGATTTTTGCGAATTTGTATTAGATGAATATGCAAATAATATTGATAAATACATTAAACGATGGCATTACTGCTTTAACAACAACATACGCGGCGGAGTAAGTGACATGACGTTACTTTATCATTTCTGCGTAAACAGAAATATCGGTAACCTCAATGAGTTAACAACTCACGGTTGCTTTGATTCCAACCCACTTAGTAAAGGTATCTGGCTATTAGATGAATATAGAATGGAAAAACCGAAAGACTTGGGGAACCGAGAGATAAAGGCGATACGCTTTCGGGAGAATAAAGCATTCGCGTACAATTACATTCGAGATCAGGAAATTCGAATTCTTGCAGCTCCCGAATATGCGAAATTTGATGCCTTGAGGAATAAAAATAAAGACAAATTAAAAAGAAAGATACTTTCGGCATTCAAGTTTAGCTTTAGGAACATCTAGGCGATATGGTGATCTTTCGTCGCGTGCACGACTACGGGATCTATCTTCCGAACCATCACAACATAGCGCGGGACGATATCGAGAGCGTTGCCGAGGTTTTCTCCAAGGTCGCAATTCCAGCCTGCCAGCTTCGAGCGCCTATTCCAGACCAGGTTTGCGGGGCAGTTCGGCCCTGCCCGACGGCATGGCGACCCTGGCTGTTCAGGTCCGGGTCACGACGGGACTTCTGTCCAGCAGTCTCTCGAAGTACCGGGCGGCCAAGCAGCATCCGGCTTCGTATTCTCCGGTGTTTTGCACCATGTTGACAATCGCCTGGGCGAACTCCTCGTCACTCACGGCGGAAATCGCATTGCCGTGGGACAGGAAAGACTGCATCGCGATCCCTTTTGAATGGATTATGGACTTCCGCGTCGCAACCGCGTCCTGAATGATACCGGACCCCTGCAGACCGTAAAATTTCGTGTCGTACGGCAACAGGATCGCATCTACCGAAAGGAACCGATCCCTGAATTCTTCCGGGCTCAATCTGTCCATAAGCCGGACCACACGCAGCGGACCGCCAGCCTCCACGTAGGCACCTGCAAATTCATATACGCCTCCCGGCCCATAGTCGCGCTCCGTGCCCTGAAGCAGGATTTCGACCGGTGATGATGGCCTGCGCAGCCCGATCAGCTTTTCAAGACAGGAACCGATCCCGGAAATGCGCTCGTAGCCTTTGCCCGGACGGGCACCCCCGAAAAGACCGACCCTGAACGGCGCATCGCCAGGCCTTTCCGGACTCGGGACCTGATCGCCAGGGTCGAAGCTGCAGGGAAGATAAAACTCGCCGCGAACATCCAGCCCATAGCGCCTCTTCATCTCCGCTGCCATCTCTTCCGTTTCGCTGAAAAGCGATAGGCCACCATGCGTTGAAACCACCTCAAAGACTTTCTTCAGACGCTCCTGTCTCCGGGCCTGCTTGTGTTCTCCCAAATCGACATCAAGGAATCGCGCGATCAGGCGCGGTGTATCCGCCTTGCGAACGGCAATGAGGTCAGAGAGGGATTCGAGCGTCTCAAGGTCCGCGGATGGGACCAGGATCAGGTCGGACCTTCCAAACCCCAATCTGGCGCAAACCTCCTGCAGCTCGTTTCCATAAGGTGAATTCGGCAGGGACAGCAATCGGCCGGCGAGGATTGCCCTGAGAAAGGCATCCGCTTTCTGGCGGCCCGTGCCATGCAAAATCCGCCACTTCAGTTTCGACAGATCGCGGCTTCGACCGGAAATCCGGGCAGCCGACGGCCCCAGAAACCCGTCATAGTCTTCACCCGTCATGAGATGATAGTCGAAACCGGGAAAGAGTTTTTTCAGAGCAGCTATCTGCGTGTGGTGATGACCGTGATTGCGGACAAGCTTCCGCTCAACGATGAGCAATTTCCGTTTTTCGGTTTCGGTTAGCTGCACAGACAACGACCACCCTCACTCATTTCCGGACTTCGCGCCGGGACAAGCTTCCGCAGTTTCAACGCCGATCCCAGGTGCGCCCTTAAACCCGCGTCGAGCGCGGCAAACCTCGTCCAGCCTGGAGCCGACTCTATTCACGACTGCGTCTCTTTCCCTTGCCGGCACTGCCGGATTCAACAAACCGGCTTCGCTTCTTCCAAGTGTCGCAAGCCCGAAACAAACCCAGATCACTCCCAAAACACCAGCTTCCTGACCGCGACCTGATCAGGTGCCTTCGGAAAAAACGGTTCCGCGTCGCGCGGGCGTGTCGAAGTCGAATCCGAACATCTCGATATCGGATGCATACCAGTCGGCGATCACCTGAATTGTGTTTTCCGTATAGAATTTCCTGTATGAGGCGCCGGCATCGCGGGACACATTTTTGCGCTCCAAGCGCTCGTCGATGCCAAAATAGCGCGCGACTTCCTCACCCAGGTTTTCCTGACGCAAAGCATTCACCCGGCGCACACCGGCCTCGTCAATCACGTAGTCGGTTTGCGGGTACCAGCCCAGAGACGCGCGATGCCAGAAAAACGGTTTCGATCCGAATTCGTGCCGCGTTTCCAGAAACTCTTCGAAACCCTCTATCGACAGGCTGCGCCCGGGAAGGTCGCCGCCGCCGGTCTGGAGATAGAACTTGTAGCGCGAAAACGTGCGGGCCCAGGGGTTCCTGACGATCGTGAAGGGGATGGTGCCCGTGCGCACAGAATGATCTATATCGCGAAATCTTGCGTGTTCGTATCCCGGATGCAGTCCGTGGGTCTGCTTGAATGCCAGAAGATCGTTGGCGTAGCGTTTGCTGACGAGGCGCCTGCGGTGCGCAATGACAATCTTGTCCCTAAGCGCGGGTGCTTCCCGCATCGCAATGCCTGCATTTTTTGGAATATGCACAAGCAGATGTTTTTTTAGGTTAATTCCCAGACGCGCAGGAGCAAATTTCAGGAAATTCTTGAGCTGGTATTCGTCCATGATGATGTCTGGTTCTTTACCCGCAGTTGGCAGCCCTTCAGGTGCTCGCCGCCGTACCTGAACTTGGGCCTGCCATATCCGAATATTCCAATCCTGTCCATGCATCGGTTGCGACCGAAATCAGACCCGGCCGGGTCCCTGTTCAGGATCGTAGTGTCGCAACAGCCCGGTGCCTTTCGTTTTCCGACCGAAGGCGCTTGCGTTTCTTCGCTTGTCCGGCCTGTTCCCGCGATACGACCTGCGCAATCCGCGATGTCCAAATCCGCCCTGCCGGAGAACGCTTTAGCAAGGTGCATGTCACGTCGAATTCCCTTGCACGAACCAAGCCGTTCACATCATTTTTGTTGCAGATCGGGATTACAAAGCTTATTGGGAGTGGGATTGAAATGCGAAAACCGTCATTTCGAATTGCTGCCGTTTCGAGGCAGCATCTGCATGGCTGGTCAGCGGCAAAGAGACGAAGAATGCAGTTCAATTTGCCACTCGTAGCGCAATGATCATCGATCTGTTTGCCTTTCCCCTCTTTACGCTTTCAGTTTGCCTGATCGGACTGGGATTTTGGCAGCTCGCCTGCAAGGCAGCCGGTGTTTCTACGGATGGGCTGCCCGCTTTCATTTTGCCTCTCCTCGGTGCTTTCACGATCGGGCTTGTGGCGATGCTGGTGAATTTTTTCAGCGGCACCGCCATTTCTTTCTCTTATGGGGTGCTGCTGGCACTGTTGATCTATGGGTTCGTGTCCATCAGGAAAGACGACGTCCGCGGCCTTGTGGTCGTTTGTTTGCTAGCCGCATTGTGCACGCCTCTTGCCGCCGACATGCAGCCAGGACCGGACGCCGCGCTTTATCACCTGCCACATCAGAAATGGATCCGGGAGCACGCGATCGTTTTCGGCCTTGCAAATCTACATGGGCGCTACGGCTTCAGTTCCTATCTGGAGTACGTCAATTCGCTGTTGTGGGTCGGAGAAGCTTTCAAGCTTCTGTCGTATATGACCGCCGTATTTTTTGTGTCGTTCCTCTCCTTCCTCTATTTCGCGATCAGTTCCCAATTCACGGTGTCGCGGTTTTTCGCGATTCTCATGGCCGTGAACGTCTTGGTCTACGATCGCTATTTCATCTGGAAGTATGGTTACGCGGACAGTTCCGCAGGCGTTGCGTTCGCGCTGTCGGTGGCGCTCGGCATTCTGACACTTGAGGCCCAGGTGCGTTCGTCGACCGAAAGAAGCGGACTGCTTCTGGCACTTCTGTTTGTTTCGGCCATGAGCATCGCGCTGAAAGTCAGCAGCGCACCTATCGTTGCCTCGGTCCTCTATGTCTTCTTCGTAGCCTCTAAGAAGCCTGGCACCTCCCTCTTGAAGCTCGCGCGGATCGCCGTACTCCCAGCAACATTTGCCCTGTTCTGGACGCTGCGTGGTGTGATCGTCAGCGGATGCATGCTGTTTCCAGCTTCTTGGAGCTGTCTCGATGTCCCATGGAGCGCAGAGCTGCAAGCCGTAAAACAAGCTCAATGGGTTACGGCCTGGGCTAGGCATCCCCACGCGGGCCTTTACTCGCTAGAGGACTGGTCCTGGATTTCAAATTACTGGCTGGAGGCAAGCACCAACCTGCTCGTCTGGCTCACCGTTGCGGCGCTCGCGACTTCTTGCGTCGCAATCCTGTATCGCCGTTATTTGACGGCTGAAAGGGTGCCGCGTTTGGATGCATTGATGCTGAGCATGGTCGTTCTGGCATCGCTTTCACTTTGGTTTTTGAAAGCGCCGACAGATCGATTTGGGATTGGCGTCTTCATGGTGGCCGCCCCCATTTTTACAATTTGTGTCTTGGGATCTCCCGTGTTTTCACCTGGCTTGAAAACGCGCATCCTAAGTATCGCTCTCATTGTCCTGCTTGCAGACAATCAAGGCGGTTTCTCCATCAAAGGTCTCCTACGATTTCAACTGCTCACCGTGCCTGCAGTGAAAACGGTGTCCGATGCCAATTTCGGCGTCAGGCCGAAGTCGGGTGGCGGTGATTGCTGGACAGCGACACATTGCGCTCCGTCCGACAGGCCGGCACCCGCTGAGAAGTCCGGCTATATGTTTTTTGAATTGCCGAGTGAGTAGAACGTCCCGGTCCAATCAGCCACTTGTCACGAACCAGAAATGTGAGACATGCGTTGGTTGCCCAATCGGTACCCGACCGGTTTCAATCGTATTTGAAAAAGTCGCACGATTGAACTCGCGAACCGGTGTGCTTGCGTCCGGAATCCAGTCGCTGCCGTGCATGATTAGACGTGGATCCGTGATGACTGATGCACGGTCCGGACTTGATCGTCAGTGGTCGGATCACAGGTATCGAAAGTCCCGGAATAGAGATCGCTTCCCGGTTCCAAACTGTGCTAATGACTTTCGAAATCGCTCTACCCGGCAATCGCCGCTTGGCCGGTGTGACAGTTTGCGAAAGGCATGAAATGAAATTCGTTTCAAGCGCCCCTATCACCGCACTCTACATAACGATCCTGCTGGTCACGTATCGCCTTCACGTATGGTTTTTCAGGGTCGACGTGGTTTTGTATTCCGCGTTGCTGGACGCGCTGATTGCGGCCGTAATTGCTTCCGTTGTGCTGTTCTGGCCCAGAAAATCAAACGCGCTTGGGCACTTCGAGAAGATGCTACTATTGGTTGTCTGGTTACTCGGCGGGTATGCTTTCGCGATCTCAATACCCACGGTGCTCGACCGTTCGCTGTCGTTTTACATCCTGGAAGAGCTGGACCAGCGCGGCGGCGGTATTTTGGCCGACAGATTTGGAGAGGTTTTCACCGACGAGTACATGCACGAATTCAGGCTGGTGGATGTCCGGCTGACGGAGCAGGACGAATCGGGGACGATCAAGATCGAAAACGGCTGCGTCATGCTCACAGACCGGGGCCAGACGATAGCGTCAGTCAGCGTTTTTTTTCGAAGCAATCTGCTTCCGTCCAATCGACTGTTGCGCGGTGAATATACGGACGACCTGACCAACCCCTTCGAAAACAGTATTCCGGCACCCGACTATCTCTGTGGCGGGGTTCGTCGGGGGAAAACTGACAGGAAATTGGATGGACACTAGCGTTTGTTCTTCGAGTTTTCCAACTGCTTTCCCAAAGAGTGCAAAATTACGCATTTGTTCAGATGCCTGAGAAACACGGTCTTGGGCAACGTGATGACGTGCGGTCTCTAACTGCTTGATCCCAAGTTTTGATGGTGCAATCTTCTCGCCGGAATGGAAGGAGGCACTATGGGACAAGTTCTGCACGGGAGCGCCAAAACGAAAGAGGCGGTGCGTCGAGCAATACAAAATAGTCAAGAGAGCTTGAGAACACTTTCCAAGCGCTACAGGATCAATCCCAAGACTGTTGCCAAGTGGAAGAAGCGAAGCTCGGTGACAGACCTGCCAACTGGCCCCAAGGAGCCCCGATCAACCGTTCTGTCGTTGGAGGATAAAGTGCTCATCGTAGCCTTCCGCAAGCACACGCAACTCAAGCTGGACGACTACTTCTAAGCGCTCGTGCCAACCATTCCGCATCTGACGCGGTCCTCGCTACATCGCTGCTTGCAACGGCATGGCATCTCCAGACTGCTGGACGTGGACGGCGACAAGCCGGCCAAAAGGAAGTTCAAGCGCTATCCGATCGGCTATTTCCACATCGACATTGCCGAAGTGCGAACGGCCGAGGGCAAGCTGCACATGCTCGCGGCGATCGACCGAACCTCGAAGTTCGCCTTCGCCGAGTTGCATGAGAAGGCGCCGACACGGGTAGTCGCCAAGTTCCTACACCGATTGGTCGGAGCCGTGCCCTACAAGGTCCATACCACCCTGACCGACAACGGCATCCAATTTGCAACACCTGGCGCGGGAGGATCAGCCGTGCCTTTGATCAAAGAGGCAATAGCAAAAGGCGAACTCTTCCGGGCCCATTTCTTCGAATATGCGTATGCCAAAGCCGATATCGACCACCGCACCACCAGACCAAAGCATCCCTGGACCAATGACCAGGTCGAGCGGATGAAACGCATCACCAAGGATGCCACCGTCAAACGGTTTCACTACGACGATCACGACCAGCTTCGACGGCACCTGGACGACTTCATCACTGCCTACAACTACGGCCGAAGACTGAAGACCCTCAAATGGCTCACGCCCTACGAATTCATCTGCAAGCAGTGACAACCAAGCCCAAAAAATTCAAGCTCAATCCAATCCATCAAATGCCGGGACCAAACATCTCGGCGGGTGCATTTGTTCACACCACATCCTCGTCCCGTGGAATTCCAGATCGTTTTCAAGCACCTTGAAATGCATCGGCGTAGGTCTGCTCAATACCCACTTTTGTCGCACGGGCGCTGTCCCATCCCAGCGAATGCAGAAGCGATGTGTCGACGAGTTTTCGCGGTGTGCCGTCAGGCTTGCTGGCATCAAACTTAAGATTACCCTCGAATCCAACGACAGCGCAAATCAGTTTCGCAAGTTCACGAATGCTGATTTCTTCGCCTGATCCAACGTTTACGGGTGTTGAACCGGAGTAGGTTTTCGCCAGATAGACGACGGCGTCAGCCAGATCATCGACATGCAGGAATTCCCGAAGCGGTTTACCGCTGCCCCAAACCTCCATGCACTCCTTCCCGCCGACCTTGGCCTCGTGTGCCTTTCGCATGAGCGCCGGCAGAACGTGGCTGGATTGAAGGTCGTAATTGTCACCGGGCCCGTAGAGATTTGTCGGCTGAACTGCGATGTAATTGCAGTCATGCTGCTTGCGATAGGCTTGGCAAAGTTTTATTCCAGCAATCTTGGCGATCGCATACCACTCGTTTGTCGGTTCCAGCGGTCCGGTCAACAGGCTGTCCTCGTTGATCGGCTGCGGCGCAAGCTTGGGATAAATGCATGTTGACCCCAGGAAGACGAGCTTCTCGACGGCTGCCCGATGAGCCGCATGAACAACATTCGCCTCAATCATGAGGTTGTCATAAAGAAACTCGGCAGGATGGGTGCTGTTTGCCAGTATGCCGCCGACCTTGGCCGCGGCCAGTATCACGACATCCGGTCTTGCGTCGCTCATCCAGTCTTCGACCTGGCTTTGGCGCCGAAGATCGACATCCTTGCTGCTGACCGTCAGTATGTCACAGGATTCCTGTTGCAACCGGCGTACGAGTGCGCTTCCAACCATGCCGGTGTGCCCCGCGACAAACACCTTTTCCCGGCAATGTCATAAGTCTGGCTGTCCGGCTGGCCGGTAAGTGGTGCTTCCTGCATTCGGGCCTCTCGTCAGACGTCTGAACGTGACGAACTGCTGTTCGAGTCGAGTTCCAATGGGACCGCTTTCATATCGGAACGCACCATTTGCGCCACCATGTCCCTGAAAGAGACTTTTGGCGACCAGCCAAGAACGCGATGCGCCTTGCTGGCATCCCCGATCAGCAATTCGACTTCGGTGGGACGGAAATACCGCTGGTCGACCGAAACGAGCAACTTGCCGCTGTCCGCATCATAGCCTTTTTCATCAACACCCTTGCCTTGCCAGCGAACCGAAATACCCACTTCCGCGAACGCAAGCTCGACGAACTCGCGAACCGAGTGTTTTTCGCCCGTGGCAAGAACAAAATCGTCTGCGGTATCTTGCTGGACGATGCGCCACATGCCTTCGACATAGTCTTTCGCGTGCCCCCAATCGCGCTCGGCGTCCAGGTTACCAAGGAAGAGCTGTTCCTGAAGCCCCAGTTTTATCGCGGCGGCCGCCCTCGTGATCTTTCGCGTCACAAAAGTTTCCCCACGGATCGGGCTCTCGTGATTGAACAGGATGCCGGTGCTTGCGTGGATGCCATAGGCTTCCCTGTAGTTTACAACCACCCAATAGGCATAGAGTTTGGCGGCAGCGTAGGGGCTGCGCGGATAAAACGGGGTTTTTTCGGTTTGCGGGACTTCCTGAACCTTGCCGTAAAGCTCAGACGTCGACGCCTGATAAAACCTTGTCTTTTCCGTCAGGTTGAGAAGTCTTATCGCTTCAAGAAGGCGAAGCGTGCCGAGCGCATCTGCGTTTCCCGTATATTCCGGCGTTTCGAACGACACCTGCACGTGGCTTTGTGCGGCCAGGTTATAAACCTCGTCCGGCTGCACTTCCTGCATGATACGGATCAGATTGGTCGCGTCCGTCATGTCGCCGGAGTGAAGGTGCAAACTGACGTTCTGCTCGTGCGGATCCTGATAAAAATGATCGATGCGGGCCGTGTTGAAAGATGATGACCTGCGTTTGATACCGTGGACCGGGTATCCCTTGCCAAGCAGAAGTTCTGTCAGGTAGGCGCCGTCCTGTCCTGTAATGCCGGTAATGAGTGCTGTTTTTGTCATCTGTCTCGAATTTGTTCAAAGCACGCTTGATTGCTCGCCGCATGAAAAATCCCTCAAGCGCTGTTCGACGCTTTCGGAATGATCCCGAAACTCACATTGAATTCAACGGGTAACCGGGCCTGTAGCTGGCTTTCCGGATCGCTGCGTTATAGTCGTTCCGTTTATCAAAAAAAAGCTGAAATCTGCAAATTTCAATAATGCCGAAGCTGCAAGCACTTAAGCGTTTTCATTGCATGCCGGGGCGGTCAAAAGCCTGTTTCAGACCAAAAACAAACGCTGGATTTATGAAATCCGCCTTGGCATAAGAACCTTGTTGCAATTGCCCAGCGGCGGACAGGCGCGTGCTGGTTCAGCGCCATTCGTGCAGGACAATGACGAACAAAGATCCGATCGATGTAACACTCGTGTCAGGAGCGCGCCCGGGCCTGCTGCAGGAAACGCTCAAGAGTTTTTCCGAAAAACTCTTCAGGCATTTCCCGATCGCGACGCTTTACGTCAACATCGACCCTTTCGAGGGTGGTCAGGCAGAGGTTGAAGACTGCGAACGGATATGCCGGGAGTTTTTCCCCACTGTCGTTTCCAGGAAACCGGACACATCCCACTTCACGCGCGCGGTAAAATGGCTGTGGCAACAGCCGCGCTCAGCATGGTGCGTTCACCTCGAGGACGACTGGATCCTGAACAGGGATGTCACCTATGCGGAATTCTCCGGTTCGATGAAGTGGCGCGTAGCGCAGATTACACTCATGACGAAGGAGAAAAACTGGGGTTACCGCTCGCCCTATCACTTCGAACCCGACCGGTTCACGATCCTCGGCAAGGATCTCGGCAAGGGCCTCAACAAGAAGCGGCCGGTTTTCACCACAAGTCCAAGCTTCGTGAAACGGGAATTTGCCCATCAATGCTCCGAATTGATGAGCGACACCCTTGATCCGGAAAAGCAGTTGAACACGCTAAACCCGCAACTAAATCAGTATACGGCGAAGTACCGAAATCGCTTTATCGGCAAACGCCGGGAGTTTGTGGCCGTGGATATCGGCAGGCGGCACCGTGACGAAATAGGCCTCACGAAGACGGTGATCGAGGGGAACAGTGTCTGGACGGAAGACAACTAACTGATTGCCGGAAGCTTAAGCGACCTCAGCCGCCGGTCGCAAACAAAGTGCCTTTTTGGGCCGCGGTGTCGAAATCAAAGCCGAACATGTCGAGGTCAGACGCATACCAGTCCGCGACGGTCTGGATCGATCTATCCGTATAGAAGTCCTTGTAGGATGCGCCGGCATTGCGGGAGACGTTCCTGTTTTCAAGTGCGTCATCGACCTTGAAATAACGCGACACCTCTTCGCTCAGGTATTCCTGGCGGAGTATGTCGACCGCGATGCTGCCGGCTTCGTCGATGACATAGTCGGTCTGCGGATACCATCCAAGCGACGCCCTGTGCCAGAAGTAGTCCTTGCCGCCGAATTCATGACGTGTTTCGAGAAATTCATCGAAGCCCTTGATCGAGAGCTCCGATTTCGGCAGGTCTCCGCCGCCGGTCTGAAGATAGAACTTGTAGCGCGAGAACGTGCGGCCCCAGGGATTTCTGATGACGGCAAAGGGTATGGTCCCTGCTCGCACCGACAGGTCGATATCTCTCAACCGTGCATGCTCGTAACCCGGGTGCAGGTGAATGGACTTCATGAAATCGAGAAGGCCGTCGGCATATGCCTTGCTCTTCAGACGCCTGCGATGTGCGATGATAATCTTGCCGTTCAATGAAGACGCTTCGCGGATTGCCATGCCGCCATTTTTCGGAACATGGACCAACAGGTGTTTCTTGGGGGCGATGCCGAGGCGCGAGGGTGCGAATTTCAGAAAATTCTTGAGTTGATACTCGTCCATGATGTCTTCTGGATCTTCTTGGCGGCCGGATGCAGGAGGAAACGGCTACCGCCGCATATCAATCTGGTGGTGCCTTATCCCAATCTTCCAGTCCTGTCCATTCATCGGCTCTCCATCCAGATTGAACTGGACCGGATTGGCTGTCTGGATATTGATATCCCGCGCCTTTCGCTGAATAAGACCGTTTTTCATGCCATCCACACCGCTGTCCAAAAGGGTTGAAAGCAGATCGGTAACCTTCCCGGACCTGGGAAATGGCAGGATCGTCAGATCAAGAAATCCGTCATCCAGTTTTGCCCGAGGGCACAGACGGATACCGCCGCCGGCGCGTCGGCCATTGCCGATCGCCAGAGCAAGGAACGCACCTTCCCAGGAAAACCCTTCCGCTTCGATCCGTCCTTCGCAGGCCGCAAGTTCAGAAAACCGGGTCAGGCCTGTGAACAGATACGCTGCGCCGCCGAGCACGCGCTTCAGTTTGGGATCTGTCTGTGACGTTACTTGCGTCCCGAACCCACCGGTCGCCATGTTGACGAAACAGCAACCATTGACTTCGCCAACATCCATCGGCTTTGCGCTTGCACGTGCCGCAAATCGCAGGCAGCCCGGAACATCGGCCGGGTCCAGCCGGATGTGGCGAGCGAAATCATTCGCCGTTCCAAGCGGCAATACCGCAAAGGCAAAGGGCGGTTTTGCGCCGTCTTCCAGTTCGTGCAGCACGGCATCAACAACCTCGTGGATCGTTCCATCTCCACCACCGCTTACCAATGTGTCAATTGCATCGGCCTCGTGATCCCTGAGTGCCTCCTTTGCGAGACGCACGGTATCACCGGCTTCATAAGTCACCCTGACGGACACTTCATGTCCCATGGACCGAACCGCACTGACGGCAGTGCGCACATCATTACGAGACGCCGATTTTCCGTTCAGGATCAAGCGCAAATGCTGCTTTTCGTTTGTCCTCATACTTTCCCAGTCTCACTTTGCCTCATTCAGGCAACATCATTTCTCGTTTGATCCGGGCGGTTCTTGCCTCTTCCATCAGCCAGTTGCGGAATGCCGCCACAACGGGCCGCATGGTCCGGCCTTCCGGATAGACGAAATAATAGGCAGTCTGCTGGTCCAGAGACAGATCAAACAAACGCACCAAGCGCCCTGATGCAAGCTCGGCTTCAACGAAGAAACGCGGGATCAGGGCAGCGCCCGCATGATGGATCGCCGCTTCCGATATCATGACAAATTGTTCGAAACGTGCTCCCTGAAAGGCTGCATCCGTTTCCACGCCGGCGAGATCGAACCATTGCCGCCAGGCCAGCGGCCGTGTCGCCAATTGCAATCGTGGCACACGTGCCAGATCCTGTGGCGTCCTGATCCCGAACCTGTCTCTGAACGCCCTCGAAGCAACCGGGACAACCTCTTCTGCAAACAGTCTTTCGGTGATCGCGCCCGCCCAGACCGGGTCTCCGTGGTGAATTGCCCCGTCAAACGGCTCCTCGTCGAAATCAAACGGCTGCAAGCGGACACTCAGGTTCAATCCGGCATCCGGATACCGGCGGCCGAATTCGGCCAGTCTGGGAGCCAGCCAACGGGTTCCGAACGTCGGCAGGACCGCGAGATTCAATACATCCGCGCTGCCGGCATAGGACATGACCTGGCGTGTGGCTGCCGTCATCTGTTCCAGGGCACCACGAATGTCATGCAGGTAGAGCCGGCCCGCATCGGTGAGCACGATCCGCTGTCGCACCCTGCGAAAGAGTTCGACGCCGAGGCGGTCTTCAAGATGGCGAACCTGTTTCGAGATTGCGCCCTGTGTCAGGTGCAGTTCCTCGGCCGCCCGGGTAAAACTCAGATGCCGGGCCGCGCATTCAAAAGCGATCAGAGTGTCTGCCGACGGGATAAAGGCGCGCTACATTCAAATGCCCTAGTTCATTCCATTTCGTCATGAATGATGAACCAGCTTTCGCTTTTCCGCAAATAAAAATCCGTCCACACTTGCTCAAACAGAATGACCTCGAGCATCAGCACATCTTCAATTTGCCCCAGGCTCAAACTTTTGCCGGGACACGTCACAGGAGACACCCATGAACGCCCCAGCACAGATAAAGTCCTCTCCTTCCGGCGGCGGCACGTTCGACTGGCAGGATCCGTTTCACCTTCGGGAACAGCTTCAGGAAGACGAGCAGCTCATCCAGGACACGGCCCGCGCCTTCGCGCAGGAAAAACTTCTTCCGCGCGTGATCGATGCCTATCGGGAAGAAAAGACCGACCGGGGCATCTTCAATGAAATGGGTGAACTTGGCCTGCTGGGTGTCACGCTGCCGGAAGAATACGGCTGCGCCGGGGCTTCCTACGTTTCCTATGGGGTTGTCGCACGTGAGATCGAGCGCGTCGATTCCGGATATCGGTCAATGATGAGCGTGCAGTCCTCGCTCGTCATGTATCCCATCCATGCCTATGGCTCCGAAGACCAGCGACAAAAATACCTGCCAAAACTGGCGAGTGGCGAGTTCGTCGGATGTTTCGGCCTGACCGAACCGGATGCCGGTTCTGACCCTGCCGGAATGCGCACCCGTGCGGAAAAAACGGATGGTGGATACAAGCTCACCGGCACGAAGATGTGGATTTCAAAAGCGCCCATCGCCGATGTGTTTGTCGTGTGGGCGAAATCGGAGGCCCATGACGGCGCCATCCGCGGTTTCGTGCTCGACAAGGGCATGAAAGGCCTTTCGGCGCCAAAGGTCGGCGGAAAACTTTCGCTGCGCGCTTCCATCACCGGTGAAATCGTCATGGATGGCGTCGAAGTCGGCGAAGATGCTCTTTTGCCCAATGTCTCGGGACTGAAGGGACCGTTCGGTTGCCTGAACAGGGCACGTTACGGCATTGCATGGGGCGCCATGGGAGCTGCAGAAGACTGCTGGATGCGCGCGCGCCAATACGGCCTCGATCGCGAGCAATTCGGCCGGCCGCTGGCGCAAACACAGCTGTTCCAGAAAAAGCTTGCCGACATGCAGACCGAAATCACCCTGGGTTTTCAGGCAGCGCTGCGGGTCGGGCAGCTTTTCGACGCGGGCCGTGCCTCACCGGAAATGATCTCGATCATCAAGCGTAATAATTGCGGCAAGGCCCTGGAGATTGCCCGCCAGGCGCGCGACATGCATGGCGGTAACGGTATCCAGGAAGAGTATCACGTCATGCGGCACAGCCAGAACCTTGAAACCGTCAATACATATGAAGGCACGCACGACATTCATGCCCTGATCCTCGGCCGTGCCCAAACCGGCCTGCAGGCATTCTTCTAAGTCAACCAGGCACCAGGCTGCGCGGTCAACCCGTGCCGAGCAGCCACACTCCATCTCCAGGAGGCGACATGGCGCAACGAACTGCGGACGTGGTCATCATCGGTGGCGCCGTCATGGGATCTTCCGTGGCCTGTCATCTCGCTCAGCGGGATGATTTTCGCGGACACATCATCGTCGTTGAAGCCGATCCGGTTTACGAAATCTGCGCCTCCGCAAGATCAGCCGCGTCGATCCGCCAGCAGTTTTCAACTGCCGTCAATATCGAGATTTCGCTCTACGGTATCCGGTTCCTGCGAGAGATCGGTGCAGCTTTGGCCGTTGATGGCGACAGACCTGATATCGGACTGCAGGAAGGCGGCTACCTGTTTCTGGCTACGCCCGACAAGGCGGAAATCCTTCAAAAGAATCACCTCCTCCAACAGGAGTTGGGTGCCGACATCGCGCTGCTCGATACTGGCGAGCTCAGGTCGAAATTTTCCTGGCTTTCCGTTTCGGATCTCGAGGCCGGTTGCCATGGTCTTACGGGTGAGGGCTGGTTCGACGGATACGGGCTGATGCAGGCCTTTCGCAGGAAGGCACGATCCCTCGGGGTGGAATATGTTTCGGCTCGCGGAACGGTCGAAAACAATCCGGAAGCCGGCTGGTCCGTTCTGTTGTCTTCCGGTGAGCGGATTTCAACACCAGTGCTCGTCAATTGTGCGGGAGCCTCTGGTGGAACGGAGATCTGTGCGCAGGCCGGCCTGGATGTTCCGGTTGTTCCGCGCAAACGCTGCGTCTTTACCTTTGACTGCAAGGAACCGCTCGAGAACTTTCCCTTGTTGATCGATCCGACCGGAACTTACGTGCGTCCTGAAGGTCCGGGCTACATCTGCGGATCGGCTCCACCGGCAGACCGGGACCCGGACTGCACGGACCTGGATGTCGACTACACTCTCTTCGAAGATCATATCTGGCCAATGCTTGCCGCACGCGTTCCCGCCTTCGAAGCGATCAGGCCCGGTGCCGCCTGGGCCGGAACCTATGACATGAACCTCTTCGATCACAACGCCTTTGTCGGCAGTGTTCCTGGAATGGAGGGTTTCTTTGTTGCGCTCGGATTTTCGGGCCACGGCCTGCAACAAGCCCCTGCCGTCGGGCGGGGCCTTGCCGAACTGATTTCAACCGGGGCATACCAGACGCTGGACCTGGAACCGCTCTCCATCCGGCGCCAGACGGAAAACGCCCCCATATCTGAGAAGAATGTCGTTTAGAGGGTCTGGAAAGACCGCCTCATTCAGCAACGAGAAGCGGGAATTGTCCATCCCTGCTTGATGCACTGTCGTCACCCAGGGACAGTTCAGGTGATGTCGAGGGTTCACCCAGATCACTCTCTTGCGCTTCATTTTCAGGCTGAGGAGAATTGAAGCTCGTTGGCCGAGTCTCCTCATCATCGGCCTCATCAACGAAATCTGCTGCCGGGCCTTGAGCCTGTACCACGCTTTCCATGGTCGCAGATACGGTCAACGGGTGCGGATCCGGGGCATCCGCCTGTGCGCGTGCCTGTATACCGGCCCAATCCAGGATCCTGGACAAACCGTCAGCGAGAACGGTCTGGAGGCGCGCGACCCGGGCCTTGTCCGGCTCGAACGGCGGCGATTCGTGTCGTAGATAGGCACGCTGTGCCAGAAGAAGCGTCAAACAATGCAGACCACGCTCGGGTCTGCCATAAGACTGCACGATGAATCCGCCGCTGGTCTGTTCATCCACTGCAGCCGTGTAGCCTTTCACTCCGCTGAAGGAGCCTACAAGCAAATTGCGAAGATCGGTATCGCAGGACGTTCCTCCGGAACTACCGATGCTGGCGATCGGCAGTTCCTTGTCCACGAAGCCTTTGATCTGCGAACGCATCGACTGACAGTCCAGAACTATGACATTGCGGTGGATGCGCATCAGCCTGTCAATCTGGCGGCGCAACGCCTTGTGGAACGGCGCGTGAAACAGAAGGACCCGCTGTTCTATTTCTGTAGGACCCGGCTCTTCCCCGTCCTGATAAATCCGTTTGCCGTCAAGTGTGGTCGCAGGACAAAGCGCGACGGCAGGATCGGCAGCAGCGTGGAGTTGCGTGCCCGGATCCTTGTCCAGATCAATGACGTAGCGCGAAATTGAAGACCGCACGACGGTCAAATCGAGATCAGAGCGGAGGCCAAAACCCTTTCCAGCCGCCATCCGAGATCCGCCTGCAGACGGCCGGTCGCGTTGAAACGATTGCCCACGGCTTTCGGCACCTCCGTGCCGCTATGCGGCAGGCACAGGATGAGCGGGCTCTGTCCTTCTTCGACCAATATCATGTTGCAACGCCTAACTGACGACACCGGGCCGCTGCTAGATTGAAGAATTTACTTAACGGAAACAAGACATTTTCTTTGCGACTCTGACACAACTGCCAACAAGGTGAACGTCGACAACTCCAGCAATTGCTTGTGAATCATAGACTTATAGTAGTCTATCCTTCTTTCCAAGATATTATCAGAATCCGCCGACCCGTCTGAACACGCCAGGTTTGGTAGTTCGCACTTGCACAACCAGAATGGCAAACGACCTGATGCGCTCGAGCTCCCTTGACGTGGCGATGATTGCGGGCAATTTTCATTTCATTCCTTCCAGCCCGCCGGGTTCCGGTAAACCAACCATTCCATCGTGACCCGCATTTCGACAGAGGAAACCGGATGTCTCTTCGCCATGGCAAAGAATTCCTGATGATTCCAGGACCGACCAACGTCCCGGAGGAGGTTCTGAGGGCCATGCACCGCCCTGCGGTCGACATCTACGAGGGCCCGCTGCTGGAAACGACAGACTATTGCCTCACGAGCCTCAAGCAGCTTTTCCGCACGCAAGGCCGAACCTACATCTACGCCGCAAACGGGCACGGTGCGTGGGATGCCGCTTTGTGCAACACGTTGAACCGGGGCGACAAAATACTCGTTCTGGAATCCGGCCGCGTTGCACTCGGCTGGGGCGAAGCGGCGGAAATTACGGGCCTGACGGTCGAGATTCTGCCAGGCTCATGGAAAGCAGGCGTCGACCCCGCCCGGCTGGAAGATCGACTGAAACAGGACACCGCACACGAGATTGCCGCTATCCTGGTTGTTCAGGTTGATACCGCGTCCGGTGTCTGGAACGACATCGAGGCGTTGCGGAAAGCAATCGACGCTGCCGGACATCCGGCACTCTTCATGGTCGACACCATCGCCTCGCTCGGATGCATGCCCTTTGAAATGGACGCCTGGGGAGTAGATGTTGCGCTGACCGGATCACAGAAAGGCCTCATGTGCCCGCCCGGTCTGTCCTTTGTCGCCGCAAGCCCAAAGGCTGACAAGGCGCACGAAAACGCAAACCTTCGAACCAACTACACGGACTGGACGTTTCGCCAAGGTCCGGAGCACTACCAGAAATATTGCGGTACGCCGCCCGAACATCTCCTTTATGCATTTCAAAAGGCACTTGAGCTTCTGTTTGGCGAAGGGGTCGAGAACGCCTGGAACCGTCACGCCCTGTTGGGTGAGGCGACCCGGCGAGCCGTTGCCGAATGGTCCAGAGAGGGCGCGCTGGACTTCAATATCAGTGAACCGCATGCCCGCTCCAACAGTGTCACGGTGGTTCGTCTCGATAGCGCCCACGCCACCGCCCTACGCACCTTCACCAAGGAAATATGCGGCGTGACAATTGGCGGAACAATCGGCGAGATCTCCGGCGAAGGTATCCGCATCGCGCATATGGGACATGTCAACGCGGTCATGTTGCTCGGAACCCTTTCCACAATCGAGCTTGGACTTGAAACCCTGAAAATCCCCTATGGAAAGGGAGGCGTTCAGGCGGCCATCAGCTACCTGTCGGAAGCCATTTAGCAACGCAGGACCGAACCCGAGGCTGGCAGGACGGACCGTGCCGGCATCAGGCCGATTGCCGATCAACACGAAAGTGATCCCGCTCCCCCAGCCGCGAGACCAGATGCAAACCGGTGTTCCAAACGTCGATATCGCCTGGCGCCAAACGATGTTCTGGATGGAAAAAGACGTGAACGGCCTGCCCTAGAGCCGCTCTTCCAGACGATTGCAGATGGTCTTCAGCACCTTGATGCGTGCGTGTCTCTTGTTTTCCGAGGAGACAAGGGTCCAGGGTGCATAGTGCGTCGATGTCCGGTCGACCATGTCACCGGCAGCGATGGTATACTGGTCCCATTTCAACCGGTTACGCCAATCTTCATCGGAAATCTTGTGCTGCTTGTATGCAGTGTCTTCCCTGGCCTTGAACCGGCGCAGCTGCTCGTCTTCGGAAATGGCCAGCCAGAACTTGCAGACGATATAGCCGAAATCGGTCAGCTCCTGTTCGAACTCGTTGATCTCGTTATAGGCGCGCAGCCAGTCGTCGTGTCCGGCAAATCCCTCGACCCGCTCGACCAGAACACGTTCATACCAGGACCGGTCAAAGATCGCGAAGTGACCCTTGCGGGGAACACGACGCCAGAACCGCCAGAGATACGGTCTGGCTTTTTCCTCGTCGGTCGGGGCTGAAATCGGATGCACCTTGTAGAGGCGCGGGTCGAGCGGACGAATGACACGCCGGATCGCACCGCCCTTGCCCGCGGCATCATTACCCTGAAAGGCGAGGACAACACCGGTTTTCGACATCGACTTGCGGTCGGAAAGGTCGGACAGGATCCTCTGGTATTTTTCCCGAAGCTCTTGGTACTCTTCCTTTTCGAGCTTCTCCGTCAGGTCGATCGTATCGACTGCCGTTTCCCGTTTCACGCCGCTGACCACGGGTGGTGCTGAAACGGAGCGCGTCTCGCCGTCATCCAGCTTCAGGCTCATCGATCTTGCCACCGTCTGGGCGAGCGCGGCGTCGCGGTATTCAGGATCCTGCGATGGAATGACGAACCAGGGAGCGTAGCCCTTGCTGGTTTCCAGAACGATCTTTTCGCCCGCCTCGCTGGCTTTCTTGTGGTGTTTCAATGCCGCCCAATCCGCACGCACATGCCGCGCCGCGTTTTTTTTCTCGATCTTCTTGAGGCGTTGTTCCTGAACATCCTTGGGCAGAAGGAACCAGAACTTGAGGATCAGAACGTCTTCATTGGACAGCATTTCCTCGAACCGGCGAATGCGGACGAGTGCCTTTTCGAAGGCGTCTTCGTCGATTTTCTTGTAAATCCAGTCCCGGAGCACGGATTGATACCAACTGCCGAAAACAATGGCAGTCTCCCCCTTGGCCGGCAAGTCGCGCCAATAACGCCACAGCGGCGGTCGGAGGCGCGCCTCGTCTGTCGGTTCGCCGTAGGCATTGCAGACCAGATGACGCGCATCCATCCAGCCGTACAGCCTGGCGACCGCCTCACCCTTTCCCGCACCGTCCAGACCGTCAACCAGTATCAATGTGGAATACGGCTTGTTCTCGATGACCGGCAGTTGAGCCGAAAGCAGCGCCTCCCTCAGTTCCGGTTCCATTTTCTTGAATATCTTTTTGGTCATCTTTTGCGGCAAACGGGCAGATTCAAACATCAAAATCTCCTAAAAAAGGCGTGCTGAGTGCATCTTGTCCTAGCCGGCATCAAAAAACCATTGTTCAGATCTTACTGCCCAAATGAAGGAGAAACAGAAATTTCGCTGTTGGTTGAGCCGTCGGACGCTTATATGAAGCTGTATCCGAATCGCCAGAGTTCAATTTCACTCCGGAACTGGGTCCGGGCACAATATGGGCTTTCACATGTTGATTTACAGATCAGACTGACAGACGTCCGTGACAGAATTTCTTGATCCCGTCCTGAACTTTATAGCGGAAAATCCGTCGCTGGCCGGTCTGATCTGCTTTCTGGCAGCCATGGGTGAAGCTCTATTCATTGTCGGTCTGTTTGTTCCGACCACGGTCGTACTCGTCGGCGCCGGGACGCTTGTGGGCCTCGGCAAACTGGATCCGGTACCCCTCTTCATCTGGACGACGCTCGGGGCGACAGCCGGCGATGCCATCTCGTACTGGATCGGATACCGGTTCAAGGACAAGATCAAAAGCATGTGGCCTTTGAACAAGTACAGCCACATGATCGACAGCGGTGAAAAGTTCTTTCAGCAGCACGGCGGCAAGAGCGTTTTCATCGGTCGTTTTGTCCCCGGGGTCAAATCGGTCGTTCCCGGGATCGCCGGCATGGCGGGTATGAACTTCACCCGTTTTTCCATCGTCAACGTCACATCGGCCTTTGCCTGGACAATCGCCCATATTGGTCCCGGCATTATTGCCGGATCCGCGCTTAGTGCCGTTGGCCAGATCAGCGGACGCCTGGCCTTTGTTCTCGGCGCACTGCTCCTGATCATCTTTCTTTTCGTGATATTGGGACGGTGGCTCATCCTGATTATCCTGCCATTGTTTCCCAATGCCCACGCTTTGATTGTCGCCTGGTTTTCCAGACGTCCCGACCGGGTATCACAATGGATTGCGCGCAATTTCGACCCGGACCACCCGCGCTCCGCCGGGATGCTTGCCTCGGCAGTGCTGCTGTTGATCACGATGCCTGCGTTTTTCTGGGTCGTTGGCCAGGTGGCACCGGGAGAACCAATGGTGCGCGCCGATCTGTCGATCCTGAATTTCTTCGATAGCCTGCGCACGCCCGTCGGCGACAAGATCATGGTGTTCTTCACCACGCTCGGAGACGGCGTGGTGGTGGCAGCCGTAGCAACTGCGGTCGCGGCATATCTTTTCCTGAGAAAGGCATGGCGCCGTGGCATTGGTTTCATCATCGCCATGGCCGGAACGGCAATGTTCGTTCCCCTGTTCAAGCTGCTCCTGCACCGGTCGCGTCCCATGGAACTGTACGCCGGTGCCGACGCATACAGTTTCCCGAGTGGTCATGCGACCCTTACAGCCGTCCTGTTCGGCATATGCGCCGTCCTGATCGCTCATGACCTCAATCGGTGGCTGAAGGCGAGCGTTTTCAGCATTATCGCAACTTTTGTGATCGCCATTGGCTTTTCACGTGTCTATCTCGGTGCGCACTGGATGTCCGATGTCCTGGCCGGGCTCCTCTTCGGCACTGCCATGGTGTCCGCATTCGCGTTCGTGTTCGGCCCGATTCACAACGAGAAAATCGGCCGGGCAACGCTTGCGGCAATTGTCGTCGCAACACTGACTGTCTTTGGCGGTTGGCATATCTGGTCGACATTCGACAAGGCCTTGCTGACCTACCAGCCAAAAGCAGACACGGAAGTCCTCACCGCATCCGGTTGGCGGGACAACGGATGGCAATTCCTGCCGGCCCGCCGGATTGAATTGAACGGTGACAGGGAGGAACCGCTGGTCATCCAGTTTGCAGGCCCGTTGCCACAATTTGCCAAAGCAGCCGAAAAGGATGGATGGCAACTTCCACCGAAATGGTCGCTCACAACAGCCGGCGGATTTGTTGAAGGCAAAACACCGCCGGATTCCCTGCCGATATTGCCACGCAGTCAGAACGGTCGACAACCGGATCTGGTGTTGATCCGCAAGGATACCGACGAGACCAGAGGCGGCCGCTGGGTACTTCGTCTGTGGCCGAGCCGCTACCAGATCCTTCAGGGCGGCAGCCTGCAACCGCTTTATCTGGGGAGTGTGGTCCACGAACACATTCTCAGGCCAATGGGAGAGTTCTCCGGCCCGCGAACGGACCTCGAGGTGCCGCCGGCGTCCGACAACCCGGCAATTCTCATGTCCGGTGCAATGTCAAAGAAACGGCAGGATGGAACGACAGTGGTTCTCGTTCTGAAAGGCTCCGGAGCGCAATAGCCCCGAATTCTTCAACATTTCATCCTCTTGCCTGGCCGACAGCAAAAGCTTCAAACGCGTGAATCCAACAGGGGATCCCGAACGAGCGTGCGCTAAGTGGAATTACTTGCGTCAAACTGTCTACTTTCATATATTCGAATATAAACTATCTATGGAGGCATGATGACCAACTTTACCCCTTTCCTCAGCCTCGGAGGCGGCCTGTTGATCGGTCTGGCAACAGTCGCCCTGATGGCTTCGCACGGGCGAATCGCCGGCATCAACGGCATCGTCAACGGATTGCTGACAACCCGCCTCAGCCCGGACTGGGCCTGGCGGTTCGCCTTCCTGGCCGGCATGATCGCCAGTCCGCTGATCCTGCTCGGGGCCACTGGACAGCTGCCGCAGATACGTATCCCGTCCTCGCCGTTTTATCTTGAATAACAGGAATGATATGACAGATAAATAGCTGGAGAATAGGTGAAAAGGAAAGATGGAAAGATTAATGTGGAAAATCAATTCTCTCTTAGCTATTAACTCCCTTTCATTTCATTCATAATGTTACCGTCGATGCCAAGTGATTTCCAGAACGAAGAGGAGGAAGGACAAGTAATCTTCTTTGCCTCGCATTCTTATTATTGGCGAGTCCACGAGATGCTGAGATAAAAGCGAGGCAATGTGAGGCAAGTAATGTCTGTTAATCCATGAGATTTCACTCTCTCTTTGTCATTGCTTTTCTCTTTCTAATCCATCATATCCACGAGTTCCACCGGCATAGACGGGAGAAGGAATGAGTGTTGAGATGATAGCATCCTTTTCCTTTATCATCTTATCCAACTATTTCCAAGGGAATTATAAGGATGGAAAGGAAGGGAGAATAGGTTAGTCCTGACATGCCACCGGCTGTCCCCTCCGTTCATATTCACTTCTTTCCATTCTTTTCTCTCTCCCGTGTCTCTCAAAGGCTTGTAGGTGGGACACGGAGAGAAAAGAGGAAAAGAGATGTCTGGAGCAGCCTCTGGCCTAGCATTGTGACTCTTCCCTCCAACCCTTTCTCTTCCTCAGGTCTTCTCACAGAGATTAATTGCATTGGAGGGAAGGTAAGGTCACAATGAGAAGAGAAATGATGCCCTCCACTCCGTCCCTTCGTGTCGTCATAGCGGTTAATTCCCTTGGTCACCCTTTCTCTTTACCTCCTGCACTCGGTTTCTTTGGGATAATGGGTGACCAAGATGAAAAGGATCTGACATTAACCTCTAGAAGCGACTGGTGGGAGCGGGTACATCATCTATTTCCTTTTCCTTTGTGTCGTTAGTCTTCTCTCGTTCTTTTTCCATTATCATCCACCTTCCGGATCCACGAATCGAGAGGAAGGAGATGAGTGAGGAAGTGAAATGAGATGAAGTGATAGAATCCTTTTTACTTCTTCCTTCTGTCTTTCCCTTACCTGCCTTCATGACGGCAAGGATGTAGCTAAGAAGAATTACATTAGGAATAGAATGAATGAATGCAGCATAAAGCCATTCCATCCTGTACCTCTTGGTCACTTTCTGGTCTTTGTGTAACCCATCCTCTCGCACCTGTGTGCTCACGTGGGATGTGGAAGGGTTAACGAGCGAGGGAAGAATAGTGCCTTTTCCTTCATGTCGTTTCTCTCCATTCACTCACTTCCTCAACCTAGTTCCAGCGGGTTAACGAAGGTACATTAATAATAGGAAATAGAGAGAGATAGACCGCTGGAAATAGGATGGCATCTTCTTCGCTTGGGAGCGAGGTGAGGAGATCCCATGTCCATCTCTTTTCATCTGGTACACCTCCCTGTCTTTCCTATCATAGACCAACAGATAATAGATTGGGAAAGGAGGTGTACAGATGAGATGGTACATTGGGGAAGCCATGAGAGATAGACGAATGAAAGAGGCTTCCCACACCTGACCACCTCACTCATCCTTCATTCGGTTCCTGGAGAGCCTGTTCTCTTCTCTCGTCGTTTCCCTCCTCATCATCCATGACATGACCATAACCCAGTCTCTCCAGTGAATGAAAGGATAGGGAAAGGAAAAGACAAAATGAATTTGAGAAGAACATAAGGTGAAAGGAAGGGGAACCTGTCTCTCTTTCTTCTCGTTTCTTAGCTTTTCATCCCATTTACGTTCTTATGTTGGATAATTAATGATGGATAACGAGAAGAAAGGTAAGGTAAGGACAGGTTCCACAGCATGCATTGGATGGCTTTATTGGTGGTCAGGCCACTGTGTGTGTGATGAACGAAGTGAAAGGAAAGAAAGAGCCTGACCACAAAGCCAACCAAAGAAGATAGACCGTTCCTCCTTCCCTCGTCACTCACCTACAGTCTGCTCTCGTCCTTTCCTACGTTCCCGGTCCTTATCTTTGACCGCGAGGAACGACAATAGGAAAGGAATATAAATGAAAAGTGAAAGAAAGGAAATGAGGGGCTCGCTTCCAGCGCCGGAGGGCCTTTTCAGAAGCTATTTCTCTCTCCATTGCTTCATCTAGGATCTCACACTCTATTTCCGTCACTTTCTACATCCTAAAGTAATTTGCGGGAGTTAAAGGAGCTGAGGTTGAAGACGGAATGAATAGAAAGGACGGCCATTAACTCCGAGCGGAGCGGGTGAACCTATATCTTCCCATACCGTCCTTTCCTACCTGTTAATCCTGGTTCATGTCCTACCTCTTGGTCAAGATGCTGCCAGCCAATATAATTCAAGGACATGGA